TGAAAAGGCCTTGTTACAGCAGATTTAACTAACGCAATGCATCTTTTGAACTGCTGCTTCCATGGGCATTAATGATGGATCCAAGACAGACAAAATCCTTGACAACTTCAACCCTTTCTCCATTTATCATGATGTTATCTATTCCAGGTGTGAGGATTTTGGACTTCCTTTCATTTAATTGTAATCCATACTGAAGGCTACCATCCTTGATCTTCATAAAGATTACAGTCTTGGACACCCTATGGGAAAATTCTACTCTGTTCCATAGGACTGCTGTTTACTTGAAAACAATGCATTTGCTTTGGAGTTTGATTTGCTAGTAACCTACTTTAGCTAGTTATTTATTCCTTTAACTTTCATTGCCATGTGAATTTTCTTTCACATATTAGCTGGTCTCTCCACATTTCTGATACTTGGAACCTTTTTCTCCCCAGTCCAAACCAAGGACTGATAATCATGAAACATCAACCTGAAACTTTTGAATTCTCACAGAGCTATCATAAGGCCTCCCTTTTATATAAAGCAGTGCAGTTATTTTTTCACATACTTGAGGACCTAAACTCCAATAAGCAAGGCAGGTCAGGCATCATGATGCCCATGCTACGAAACAGGACACTGAGGTTCAAATATGTCTGGATAATTTCCCACATGCTACACAAGAAAGAATAAAATTGAGATCCAAATCTTGGTCATTTGATTGGAATGACATAATTTTCCCACACTTAGGTCAACGGTTATACGGACTGGCAAATCTCCCAGGTCCCAGAGGCCCCTTTGTCTTCGCTGTTTATGCCACGGATACTGGGTACTAATCTCTCTTACCTTCATTACATCTCAGGACCGTGTGCAAATGGGCAACCTTGATGACTGAGGTACTGACTTCCTAAAAGAAGAGCACGTTTGCTTACTGTTTACAATAAAATGGTATCAAAAGACTACCCACGTCAATATTCCTGTTACGACACAAACCTCGTGCATACATAAACCTTTCTGGTTTACTTCGATGACACTTGGGCACAAGGAGAGCTAACACACATGAGATGTTCATGCTATTTCTTGCGCCATGAGTAATACGGCCTTGCTCTCTACCCAGGAATCTCATTTATTTTGCAGGTGTCCATGAACTAGTAATAAGTTAAATTATTAGCTTGTAAGTAACGTAAAATCTAACCCCAGATGTGACACACTTGAGTTGTATTGATGAATAAATTGTGACACAGAGACTTTATGTGGCTATGTACAAAGTCATTTAAATAAAACAACTGAGAATGCAGATCCCGTGACCTGCAAATTAATTCTCTAGCCAATATAGTAGGATTCCAATAATGTTATATAATTTGTATAGAAAGTTCTGAATGTATTTGCATTCCCCCACATCCTAAATAAAAAAAAACCTATCAATTAATAAGCTTCATCCTTAATATTAAAAGAGAACAATTTCCACTCTGAGTTGGGATGATATTTTAAACATATAAATGTGGTTTCTTTCTTCATCTTTAGCTTATCTCCTCTGTTTGTTCTCTCATTGAAACTACAAGTCATTGTGTTTTACGTCCCTCAGAAAAGTAATATGAATCAGAAATCAAAGATTATAAAATCATCTCTGCAGTTGTTTCAAAAGCCTGAGTTCTTTGAGAAAGGAAAGAACATATTCAGAGCCAGTGATTACATGAGAAATAAAACTGCAAGCAGGGAAGAAATTCGGAGGAGAAACAATG